CATTCTAACAGGTATGAGGTGGTATCTCATTGTGGTTTTGATTTTCTATCTTCCTAATAACCAGTGATGTTGAAGATGTTTTCATATACCTATGTGTTCACTATAGCATTATTACAATAGCCAACACATGCAAACAAAGTGCCCATCAAAAGATGGACACACACAATGGAATACAATTCAGCCATGAAAAAGACAAAATATTGCCATTTGCAACAGCATGAATACATCTTGAGAGTAATATTATGCTAAGTGAATTAAGTCAGATAACAAAGAACAAAAGCTGTAATTTCACTCATATGTAGAATATAAAACAAAAAGTACAAATGGACTAACAAAACCAACCAACAAACAAAAATTCATTGATACAGATAATAGAATGTTGATTTCCAGAGGGGGAAGGGGGTCTGGGAGAGGTGAAGTAGGTAAAGGGAATCAAATATATGGTAACAGAAGGAAACTAAACTTTGGGTGGTGAGCATGCAATTAAGTACACATTTGTTGAAGTATACACTTACACACCAGAAAATTATAGAGTTATTGACCAGTATCCCAATAAATTTAAAAAAATCTTAGGCTCTCTGCACTTAGGTTCCAGATATAACTTATAAGCAAGACTGTTTTGGTGGATTAAAAGTAGAGGTTCCTTTCTGATGGTGTGGTCTTAATCCTCCACTGTTGTTATTGCTGAGTATTTATGCTTTGCTATCAGTGGAATATTTTATATATTTGCACTCAAGATTGTGCTATAGAAGTGTCCAATCTGAAAAGTCTCTTCCCTCCAATAGGCTATTATGTCCACACATCCTCTGGAAGGACAAACAAGTCTTTTGCACTATATTTAAGCCAAAGTTGAATTTTAGGAAGGGACAGAGTTTCATTAGCTACAGCACACAAAGCCCTGTGTAGGTTAAGGTCTCCAATTTCCTCCAACTGAGTTTCTTCTAGCTTGTGAAACAGTAACCTGTTTTAAAGAATGATGCTGTCGCCCTGGCCAGTTTGACTCAGTGGTTAGAATGTCGGCCCGCAGACCGGAGAGTCCCGGGTTTGGTTCCCACTAAGGGCATGTACCTCGGTTGCAGTTTGTCCCCAGCCTGGGGCCATGTGGGTGGCAAACACTCGATGTGTCTCTATCACATGGATGTTTCTCTCTCTCTCTCCCTCCTGCTCTATCTGAAGATAAATGTGAAAATGTCCTTGGGTGAGGATTAAAAAAAAAAATGATGCTGTCTTTCATCTACTTCCGTCAAGGGCCTTAGCTAGCCTTAATTCTGCCATGAATGAAATTCTTAAAAACAGTTTAAATAGAATGCTATCTATCAAAATAAAATACAAATTTATTTTAGGTATCTTCTCTGGAAACAGAATTTCTATCCTAAGTGGTAAGGGCTGAGGAGGATAAGATACTTAAAACATGCCAATTCCAGTACCATGTACCTCTAGATCTCATAACTCCAAAAGCAGTGGGCTTTCTATTCATTTTTTTATCTTTACCCAAAGACATTTTTTCATATTTATCTTCAGATAACAGTGGGAGGGAGAGAGGGAGGAAAAGAGAGAGAAACATCATTGTGAGAGACACACATCAACTTGTTGCCACCCACACAACCCCAACAGGGGCTGGGGACAAACTGCAAACAAGGTATGTGCCCTTAGCGGGAACTGAACCGGGGTCTCTCTGGTCTGCTGGCTGACGTCTAAACCGCGGAGCCAAACCAGCCAGGGTACACTTCCTATTCTTTTTTCTTTCAAATTCTTTAAAGTGCCATATAATATGATGTTAATACTTTTGAAACTAACTATCTTCACTCAAATTATTTTAAAATCTAAACAAGCTGGAAGGGGCCTTGCAAACCATGTAGCTTAATTCCCTTATTTCATAGATTAAGAAATGAAGGCCTGGCCCAGCCAGTGTGGCTCAGTGGTTGAGCATCGACCCATGCACCAAGAGGTTACCAGTTTGATTTCCAATCAGGGCACATGCCCAGATTGTCGGCCAAAGCCCCAGTGGGAGGCATGCAGGAGGCAACCAATCGATGTTCTCTCTCATTGATATTCCCATCTCTCTCCCTCTCTCCCTCTCAAATTAATAAAGGAAAAAAAAGAAGAAACGAAGGCCTGGAGTGATTAGGAAGCTGCTATTCTACAAGAAGTATAACTGATTCAGTCTTCTACCTTTTATCAGCTCAGTGCTTATTTCAGTATGTGACCTAAACTTTCACAATTGTTATAGCTTGTCTTTTCTAAGTCCTGATTTCTGTTGGCTGCATAATTAAGCAGATCTTGTTTTAAGGAAATTTCAGAAAGGAGTTCCTTCCAAGAGGAAACTGAAAACAGAAAGGAAAGGATGGTAACAGTGTCTTTTTAAGAAACGGTGGTACTTTACATAACTTTAAAATTCTTTGGAAATAAATGATATAAAAGGAGAATGTAGAACATTTATAATTAAGCTCTACTCAGATAGTATTTTGATACTGACAAAAAAATCACATGAATTCATTAATTTATTCAGAATTAAATTTTTTTTGTCCTTTTCTTCAGATAGAGTGGGTGGAAGAGAGAAACATTGATGTGAGAGAGACACATTGACTGGTTGCCTCCTGCACATCCCTGACCAGGGCAGGGGATGAACCACAACCAAGGTACTTGCACTTGACTGGAATTGAACCCAAGCCTCATTGGTCCATGGGCCAATGCTCCAACTATTGAGCCAAACTGGCCAGGGCAGAATTAAAATTTTTATATATATTTTTTAATTTATTGACTTTTTTAGAGAGAGAGGAAGGGAGAGGACTGAAATAGCAATGTGAGAGAGATACATTGATTGACTGCCTCCTGCACACCCCCTACTGGGGATCGAGCCCAAAACCTGAGCATGTGCCCTGACCGGAAATTAAACCAGGACCTCTCAGTCCATGGTATGACACTCAATCCACTGAGCCACACCAGCCGGACCAGAATTTAATTTTTTATAGGTATAGCTTACACTGGTCTGTAGAGTCTAAAGTACTTTTTCATTTCTTTTGTTGTTTAGTTCTAACAGAGGAATCCTGAATTCTAGGAGAACTAAAATCAATTTAGTGTGGGAAGAGTGAGAGAGAATGTCACAAATATGACAGTTGATGAGTAATAAAAGATGGGTAGAAACAGAGTTCATATATTAAAAATTACTATCAAATGTCAAATTTTGTTCCAGAATTTACAACCCAGCTTTTAAAATTTTGGAAAATGAGTTAACAGTTTTGCCAAAAAGGGATCATTATACTATGTTATTCATTAACAGAGTATAATTTTTTTTTAAATCTTCACCCAAGGAAATTTTCTACATTAATCTTCAGATAGAGCTAGAGGGAGAGAGGGAGGAAGAGAGAGAGAGAGAAACATCGATGTGAGAGAGACGCATCTAGTGGCTGCCTCCCACATAACCCCAACCGGTGCCAGGGATGAACTGCAACCGAGGTACATACCCTTGGCTGGAATTGAACCCAGGACTCTCTGGTCCGAGGGCAACGCTCTTACCACTGAGCCATACCGGCCAGGGAAACAGAGTATAATTCTAATATAGTAATAGCATAGATTTTTTTCCTGTCTTGACCATTTAAAACAAAATCTTGGTAAATCAAGCACATACTAAATCATAACAGAGTTTACAACTGGTATATTGGTTTCCATAACTAGAGAAAGAAATTATTTTCCTTCTTTTCCATGATGAAGAGAACTTTAAAGCACCAATTTTCCCAGGAAGTAGGGCATGACCTCTTTTCAGCAGCTGAGGAGAAAGCATACAAGGAGACCAGCATACATATCATAATGTCATCCCCCCACCCCAATTCAAAAAAAAGATTTTGAAATTTAGGGACACTTGTGGGGAACAGCTTCTTGTTCAATGGTCCCCAATAAAGATAAGCACCCCACTGACACACTTATGATCCTTCCTGTGTCAGCACAACCACTGAGTGTAACAGGTGAGAGATAATCTTCTAAAAATCAAATTTTGAATGAAAAACTACATGTTCTACCCCAAATTGTTACCTTTCAACCCCAGACAGTGCTGACTTGAAAACTGGCATCTATTTTGAGCTCTTCTACAGAGCTGGTTAATAAGTAACCATCAAGATTTCTCACTTAAAACCAAAACAAAACAAAACCCCCCTTTCCTCTTTAACTTACTAGGGTATTTTTTTTTTTAATTAAATAATTAAAAATTTTTCTATTACAGTTGATATACAATGGTATATTAGTTTCAGGTATACACCTCAGTGATTAGACATTATAAAACTTATTATAAGTGATCATCCTGCTAAGTCTAGTACCCATCTGACACCATGCATAGTTATTAGAATATTATCTACTATATGTCCTATGCTGTACTTTACATCCCCATGACTATTCCTTAACAACCAATTTGTACTTTTAACTGGCTCACCTTTTTCACCCATCTCCCCAAACCCTCTCCCATCTGACAACTGTCAAAATGTTCTCTATGAGTCTGTTTCTGTTCTGTTTCGTTATTTTTAGATTCATTTGTTGATAGATATGTATTTATTGCCATTTTATTGTTCATACTTTTTTTTTTTTTCCTTCTTCTTCTTCTTAACAATTCTCAAGAACAGGTGAGATACCAAGTACAAGACCATTTGGTTGGAGAATAGTCCTGATGTTTATATTTGCTTACTTAGGAGTGAATCCCTCTTGAGACTTACAATTTATTTGGCTTTTGGAAACTTACTGGACAAAAAGACACACATTGCCGGTCTATTTCAGATGATATTTGAGTACCACAGCAGGATGTCTGATGGCAAATTCTATAGAGTTACGGAGAGGAAAAAGGAAAATGCCTCTTCTATCTGATTCCACAACAAACTGTCAGGGGGTAAACAAGTCCAAACCTCAGACTGTAGACCCATAAAAGAAACAGCTTCTCACTGTACCTGTGCTCTGTTCACAGCATGCAAGGAAACCAGGCACCTGCACAAAAAGCCCTCCCAGATCAAGAGCCCTACCTTGCTGATTGGGCCCCCTTGTCATCATCAGAGCTCAGATCCACATCCATGGTGTCTTCTGCAGCAGGGGAAGCTGCCTGGTCTTCTTTCTTACTGTCCTGTTTGCATTTCTTTCTCCTTCGTTTTTTCTTTTTCACAGAACTTGGAGTAAAAACTGGCTCTGTTTCCAAGATGTGTGAGATGTTGGAACTCTGAGACGGTCTTTCATTTCCACCTGATTTGACCACAGGGGAGTCAATATCTTTAAAGAACTGGTCTTCGGTAGGAATTGGTGAAGTGGCAAGGTAAGCAGGAAGTTTTTCCTTAAAGAGAACATGAAGAAAGAAAAGTTGTCCATGGCAAACTGGACAGCAAATCAAAATAATAATGAATTCTTTGTGTATCTAAATTTTCACAGTGGTAGAAAAAACATAGTCTCCGAAGGTAAGAAAGTCACACTAAACTAGGGCACTGCCTGCTCTGTTCTAAATAGATCTTTACCCTGTTGCACAGAGCTAAGTGTTAGCTCATCATGGTCCACATAACTGAATACGTTTGGAGGAATCATTATGCCAAGTCAACATGGAACATGAAAACTATAATTAAAGCAGAGGCAATTAAATTATCTGTAAAAAAAAAAGTTCGCAGCAGCAGCAGCAGCAGCAGCAGCATTCCAAGGAGGTGTTACAAAGCATTCTGTAAAGAATTTACAAAGAAAAATAAGAACAGGATAAAGTACAAGGCAAGGACAGGAACACCCCATCAGACAAAGGGCAACAGGACAGGTTAAGTGAAGTGAGGAACTAGGGTAAAATTTATAGTTAATGCTGTTTGCTAAATTGAGCATGGAAGAAGGTGAGTATTAACAAAAATATACTCTGTAGCAAAATTAGTGGATTTTTAAATCATAAAATATTTATGATATCCTTTTAGAAATCCAAAAGAAAATAAATCCAAACAGTTAGAAATAATTAAACTCTTATTTTAATATTAAATTTATGATCAAGTCTGGTGTTCAGGAAATTAACTTCTTAATCATTTGCTTCAGTCCTTCATATCATGGGGGAAATGGAAGGTAGGTAACAGAGATACAAATTAACCTCAGAGAATTCAGAACACTCAAGTTTTTATGTAATAGTCCTGAAATAAGTAAGTTTCCATAATTGTTCTAAATGAAGTTTTTGAATTTGGCTTTGGTAAACATATTACCCTAAAGCCAAAGTTTCGCTTAACCAAGAAAATTTGTGTTAATCAGCAACACATAGAGAGAAACTGAGACAGCAGGATATTATTCTGCAAGCCCCCAAAGCACCAAGGTGACAGGCCATGGTCTCTAACATCCAGGGTCTTTTAATTTAATGGTCTTTGCTATAAAAGAAGTTTACTTGTACTTCTTAAAAGCTGTTTTTGTCTCTGACAATGTTTCCTAGTTCTAATATAAAACTGTTTGTAGTGGAGGTTGCGGGAATGGAAATAAGCTGAATGTCTATCAGTACGAGAAAGATTAAACAAGTTGTGGTGTATCCATACTATGGAATATTGTGCAGCTATTAAAAGGACAGAGTTAGCCCAGCCAGTGTGCTCAGTGGTTGAGCACTGACCCACGCACCAAGAGGTTGCCAGTTTGATTTCCAATCAGGGTACATGCACAGGTTATCGGCCAAATTCCCAGTATGGAGCATGCAGGAGGTGGCCAATTGATGTTCTCTCTCATCAATGTCTCCATCTCTCCCTACCTCTCCCTTCCTCTCTATAAAATCAATAAAGAAAAAAAAAAAAGGACAGAGTAGATTTAGATACCTACCAACTTAAAAGGGATGCTGAGACATAGAGTTAAATGAGAAAAGTTTGAGAGAAACAATAAAATAAATGGAAGTCAGATGGGTTTTCGTAATGTTTAACCTTTAAATCATGAACTCCTGGAGAGCAGGGATATGTTTTATTCATAGTACGGTACAGAGTAGTAATTTCAGTGTTGTTGGATGAATAACCTAAAGTGATGGCTTCTCTGTAAATTAAAAAATGATAAACAACCTCATTCCACTACTGTTTATTTTTTTTTTGGTAATTTTTTTCTTTGTCAATTTATGATATCAAACTGGAAGTTAATCTTCAAAACTTAAAAAAGTAAATAACTTGAAGCTTATCATTTTTGCTGAGTTTTTATTCTTTATTTTTTTAAAACTATGTTTTTATTGATTTTTAAAGAGAGAGGAAGGTAGAGGGAGAGAGAAACATCAACGTGAGAGAGAAACATGGATTGGCTGTCTCCTATACACACCGCCAATTGGGGACTGCACCACAACCTGGGTATGTGCACTGACTGGGAAGTGAACCTGTGACCTTTTGATGCATGGGATGATGCTCAACAAACTGAAGCACATGGGTCAGGGTGATATGAGATTTTATTCTTTATGATAAAATATATAACAATGCATAACCAATAGACAACAGTGTGGTGAAGGCAGGGTGGGGAGTGGGAGCAGAGACGAGGGGGTCAATGGGGAAAAATAGGAAGGACATCTATAATACTTTCAAAAATAAAGATTTAAAAATAAGTATATTGCCCTGGCCAGTTTGGCTCAGCGGTTAGAGCGTTGGCTTGCAGTCCAGAGACCCAGGTTCAGTTCCCACTAAGGGCACGTACCTCAGTTGCAGTTTGTCCCTGGCCCTGGTTGGGTCATGTGTGTGGGAGACAGCCACTTGATGTGTCCCTTTCACGTCGAGGTTTCTCTCTCTATCTCTCTCTTCCTCTCTCTTCCTCCCACTCTATCTGAACAAAAAATGGAAAAATGCCCTCAGGTGAGGATGGATGGATGGATGGATGGATGGATGGATGGATAGATAGATAACAATGGAAGCAAACAAAAAAGATATAACAATGCATTCTAAGAATTTTTAAAAAGATCCTCATGAAACCATTAAGAATAGTTTACCACCATTCAAATCAATGGAAACAAAAGAAAGGAGAAGAGGGACAGAGGAAGAGAGGGGGAAAGAAAGGGAAAGGAAGAGAGGGAGGGAAGAAGAGGATGGGGAGGAGGGGAACGGAGAGAATGTGTGTTGGTACTGACAAATTATTCTATCTTGCTTAAAGAAGCCAAACATGTAATAATTGTTTATAAAGGGTATAGGCCAATTAATTTAAATTCCTTGAGACAATAATGAACCACTTCACCGTAATTATCATTATAGATGTAATGTCCCAAATCAAAATGGTAAACTTGTTTTCCAAGTTTAAAGGTCACATGTATATGAACACACACATAGCCTAAAGAGATATATCTTGATTACTTTAGGCAGAACTCAAATGTATTCAGCCAAGGTGTAAACTGTAACAGATGCTAAATAAGAAAGCACATTCAAGTTAAAGAAAAAGACATGCCTTTCCTTATTTTTTTTTTTTTTAAAAAAAGGCAATTACGAAGGCCTTTTACATTCTCTCTGTATCCTGAAATCTGGCATGGAGAAAGGTCCTTTTCTACTCCTCCAGCTGTTTTTTGACAGCTTAGTTCTTCAAACTAAAACTAAAGTTTGCCTAACTAGCAAAAATCGTCTGTACAACTAACCATGAAAACTGAATATTTCTGCTTTGGGATATGTACCAGAGGCTTGAATACAATGCACACAATGGATATGACCCAACTTACATATTCCTCTTCAGTCTCCTCCACAAAGAAAGCTTCTCCATTGTCACCCAATTTCATATGCAGGTCCACTGCATCACCATTGATTTCTATATCAATCTAAGAGGAGAAACAAAGTGCAACTTAGCATTAACATTCTTTCATTTAAGCTAAACTAAGCCTAAATTCTGAGTTCTTAAGCCAAACTTAGTACTGAGGTTCCCAGAGTGACAGCCCCAGAGAAACACTGCTACCTATCCCATATCCCACCCCTAAAATAAACACACAAACCTTGGGGTTAGGGGATGATAATCAAGGATTGAAAGAAAATGTTTTATAATCTATTTTTATAACATATAAACATTTTAAGTTACTTAATTCCCAAATGTCATAAAATAGGGGAAACGTCCTTATCAATAAGTGTCTGAGCACTTTCAGAGTTATAGCACAGGTAGGTCTCACCTTGAGTGGTTCAGATAAACACAAATTTCAGTTACCACAGTATGTTAACTGTGAGCAACTGCAGGAAGTACAAACTTCACTGCCAGCTCTCAGCTCACAAATCACTATGAGGATATTTTTCCATTTATCTTCAGGTAAAGTAGGAGGGAGGGAGGAAGGGAGGGAGGGAGAGAGAGACAGACAGACAGATAGACATCAATGTGAGAGAGACACATTCGACTGGTTGCCTCGCACATGACCCTGACCAGGGCTGGGGACTGAACCACAACCGAGGGACATGCCCTTGACTGGAATCAATCCCACAACTCTTTGGTCTGAGGGCTTATATTCTAACCACTGAGCCAAACCGGCCAGGGCTATCTTGTCACTTTTTTTTTTCTTTACTGATTTTAGAGAGAGAGGAAGGGAGAGGGAGAGAGAGATAGAAACATTGATGAGAGAGAATATCAAGTGGTTGCCTCCTGCATGTCCCCCACTGGGGATCAGGCCCACAACCTGGGCATGTGCCTTGACCGGAAATTGAACCGGTGACCTCTTGGTGCATGGGTTGACGCTCAACCAGTGAGCCATATAGACTGGGCTCTTGTCACTTTTTAAAAGTCTGTTGGTGACTGGTCCCAGCACTGTTACTGTTACTGTGGTGTTACCTTCTTGGGTCCCAGGAATAAACCCATGTAACATTTTATAAAAACAGATAACTGAAAGAGGAAACTGGCTAAGATCCAAGTGACATACAGGAAAAAAATTATGTAAAATAATAGTGTTGGAAGTAAAATTCAAATGGAATGTAAACAATTATAGAAGAAAGAGCTCCCCGGCTGAAGTGGCTCAGTGGGCTGAGTGTAGTTCCCTGGAAGGATGCTGGTTCAATTCCCAGTCAGGGCACATACCTGGGTTGTGGGTTTGATCCTGTCAGGGAGTCTATAGAAGGCAACTAATCAGATATTTTTCTCTCACATAAATTCTCACTTTTTCTCTTTCTTCCTCCCCTGCCTCTCCCTCCCTCCAAGCAAGTTCTTGGTGAGGATTAAAAAAGAAGAAGAAGCCTGGCCACTGTGGCTCAGTGGAATGAGCATCGTCCCATGGACTGAGAGGTCCCAGTTCAATTCCTAGTCAGGGAACAAGCCCGGGTTGCAGGCTCGATCCCCAGTGCAGGACATGCAGGAGGCAGCGGATTGATGTTTCTCTCTCACATTGATATTTCTACCTCTCTCTCCCTTCCCCTCTAAAAAACAAACAAACAAAAAGATCAATAAAAACATATTTAAAAGGAGAAAGAAAAGATGCTTGCTCCATATCATAACTATTACATTAAGAAGGCAAGCATTGATACAATTACTCATTTTTACAAGGAAACAACATTTTAGTTCTCAGTGTTTCTAATGTTTTAAATTGCAGTGTACTAAGTACTTACTATTTTACTAGTTTTCATTTTCTTATACATTTATAACTGACAGTATGAATTTTTAAAGTTGTGACAAATAGCTCTGGCTGGTGTTGCTCAGCGGTTAGAGCGTCAGCCTGCGGTCCAGGGAGACCCAGGTTCGGTTCCCGCTGGGGGTGCCTACTTTGGTTGCAGTTTGTCCCTGGCCCTGGTTGGTCGTGCAGGCGGTGGCCACTTGATGTGTCCCTTTCACGTCGATGTTTCTCTCTCTCTCTGTCTCTCTCTTCCTCTCTCTCCCTCCCACTCTATCTGAACAAAAAATGGAGAAATGTCCTCGGGTGAGGATAAAAAAAAAAAAAAAGTTGTGACAAATATGTATAAAGGTTATAAAAGAATCCTAATTTTTCTCATTGATTATAAAAAATTTGCTTTGCACAGTTTCAGCTTCCCCAGTCACTTTTACAGGTCTGTACTACCATGCAAAGTGAATACTATTTATACATAATATTAACAACTATTATATCACTTAAAAGTAATGTTTATCTCTAGGCTGTGAATCAATTCTTTTTTTCTTAATCCTCACCCAAGGACATTTTTTGCATTTATCTTAGAGCAGGAGGGAGAGAGGGAGGGAGAGAGAGAGAGAAACATCAATGTGAGAGAGACACATCAACTGGTTGCCACCCACATGACCCCAATTGGGGCCGGGGACAAACTGCAACCAAGGTATGTGCCCTTAGCGGGAACCAAACCCAGGACTCTCTTGTCCACAGGCTGACTCTCTAACTGCTGAACCAAACTGGTCAGGGCAAGTGTGAATCAATTCTTTTAAGTACCATACAATAATTAAAAAAATATCAACTTTCGAAAATTTTATGAATAACCTTGTAAACTTCAGTTTTAGACTGATAAAGGGATATAAAGGCAAACATACAGGGTGGGACAAAAGTAGGTTTACAGTTGTTTATATGGAAAATAATACAATAACTAATAAATAATACAAGAATTGTTTTCAAATACTCACAACTGTAAAGGACTTTTGCCTCACCCTGTATATAAAGACATAATATAAATATAAACACAGTAGTCTATAATCTAAGTGTACTTAACTCTGCATGGTCCCATGAATTTTTCCCAGTGAGAACTAATTACCCTTCTGATCAGAGACTGAATGCTGGTTCAGTCACTGAAGGCAGCTTCACCTTCCCTGTTACATTTACAGTAAAGAAACCTAGTAGACACCATTAAAGAAGTGATCAAAGTTACCATCAACCAGAAATGAGACACAGAAACATGATGGGTCTCCTGATATGATGCACTGAGAAGAACATGTCATCACTATGTTATTCTAGCTAAAATAAGAAAACATCAGACAAATTCAAACTAAGGCATAATCTAACTATTGTGTAATATTTAAAATTCAAGTTCACAAGGAAAGACTGAGAACTGTGAGAGAATACAGGATAAAAGCTATATGGGATGATCCTGGATAGGACCCTGGAACAGAAAGAGGACAAGAGAGGAAAAACTGGTGAAATCTGAATAAGGTCTTTAGTTAATATTATGCCAAGGTTAACTTCCTGGTGCTGATAACTGTACTATGGTCATGTAAAAGGTTAACATTAGGGGAAGAGATAGGGTGAAGGATATATGGAAACTTTTAAACTACACTTGCAACTTGTCTGTAAATCTAAAATTAAGAAATTAAAACATATGTATATATGTTAATGTCATAAGAAAACAAAGACTGAGGCCTTGGCCAGGTAGTTCAGTTGATTAGAGCATTGTCCTGATGCACCAAGGTTATATAGGTTCAATCCCCAGTCAGGGCACATACAAGCAGCAACAAATGAATTCATAAATAAATGAAAGGCTAAACAGATGTTTCTTTCTCTCTCTCTCTCCCTTACTCTCTCTGTCTAAAAATCAATAAAAACAACTAAACAAAGACCAAGAAATTGTAAAAGATTGGAGGAGACTAAAAAGACAAATCAACTGCTCAGCCAGTGTAGCTCTGTGGTTGAGCATCAAGAGGTCGCCAGTTCGATTCCCGGTCAGGGCACATGCCCAGGTTGTGGGCCCAATCCCCAGTTGGGGGGCATACAGGAGGCAGCCAATTGATGTTCTTTCTCATCAATGTTTCTGTCTCTCTCTCCCTCTCCCTTCCTCTCTCTAAAAATCAATAAAAAATAAAATAAAAAAATAAAAAGAAGAGTAACTAAATGTTCTATATTTTGATTGTGGAGCTGGTTTCATAGGTGCATACATAAGTTAAAGCATCATATTGTATCCTTTAAATAGATGCAGTTTACTGTGTGTCAATTATAAACATTACAGTTGTTTAAAAGGATGAATAGTGTTATAAAAGAAAATGAGAAAAATAGGCCACTAAGAATTAAATATAAAATAACAAGTAAGCCAGAGCAGTGTGGCTCAGTGGATTGAGCATCATTCCATGGACTGAGAGGTCCTGATTCGATTCCCAGTCAGGCACATGCCTCGGTTTCAGGCTCGATCCCCAGTAGAGAACATGCAGGATGCAGCAGATCCATGTTTCTCTCTCACATTGATGTCTCTATCCCTCTCTCTCCCTTCTTCACTAATTTTTTAAAAAATATGTTTTACACAAGAACTCATTTGTCTTTTACTCTTTAAAAGAAAGGACTGCAACCCTGGTCAGTTTGGCTCAACAGTTCGAGAATTGGCCCTCGGACCAAAAAGCCATGGCTTCAATTCTGGTCAAGGGCATGTACCTTGGTTGTGGTTCGGTCACTAGCCCTGGTTGGAGTCGTGCGGGTGGAAACCAATTGATGTGTCTCTTTCACGTCGATGTGTGTCTGTGTGTCTGTCTCTCTCCCCACCTTATATGCTATCTAAAGATAAATGAAAAAATATCCTCGGGAGAAGATTAAAAAAAAAAAAAGAAAATAAAAGAGAGACAGACTTCCGGTCAAGATGGCAGCGTAGATAAACGCGGTATTGCGTCCTCCCACAACCACATCAAAGTTACAACTAAACTACAGAACAACCATCATTCAAAACCGCCTGAAATCAAGCTGAATGGAAGTCCTACAACTACGGAATTAAAGCAGCAGCCACATCCAGACTGGGCGAAGGGGTGGAGGCGCGAGGGGCGGCAGTGGCGCGATGGGCTGGTCCCACACCAAAGTGTGGTGGATAAAAATCAGGAGGGCACCTCGGCTGGGAAGGTCCTTTCTGAGGACTGAGGGGTCCCCGTCGCACACCAAGTGCCCCGCTCAGGGTTCCAGTGCCA